AACCTGGCAACCGTGATCAAAGGCCTCAAGAAATTCGACGGAAAGGACCCAGCTGAGTTCAAGACATGTATGAAGAAGTTCTGCGTGGTGTTAGGCGTGACCAGGAAGAACATCCTGCCACTGCTGAAGACACAAAGGAAGCCAGATCCCTCAGACACAGCGGCCTTTGACTCCTACACAAGGGCAAAGGAAGATCTCTACGCCATTCTTTGCCTCCTAGTGGAACTTCCAGCCGCCTTGTCGACACAGAAGCACGAAGACGACACTGGCATCAGCGGCGACGGACAAGCTGCCTTCGAGGAGCTCTGCAACAACTATGACAGGGTAACGGACGAGGTCATCAGCACCAAGATGGAGGAGCTGGAGAACAACCCCATGAACCCTGGTGAAAGCCCCGACGACTACTTCAACCAGAAGAACCTACTTTGCGCCCAGCTTGATAAGATGGGAGAACCCATCTCCGACCGCCGCTTCAAGGACATCGGCGTACAGGGCTTCTCACCGCGTCTGACATCATTTGCCACAGCTGCTACGAGCCGGGGCACATCAGGAGGAACTGCCCCAAGATCAACAACAGGGCGAAGAAGAAAACGAAGCCCACCGGAGCTACCAAGTGGTGCTCCAAGCACAACACTACGTCTCACTTGGACGAGGAATGCTACCAACAAGGAGGAAAGCGCCCGGAAGACACCAAGGACTCATGTAAAGCATTCACCGCGTGCTCCGACTGCACTCACTGCTCGTCGGCGTCCAACAAGAACGACTCAAACCATGAAGTGACAGTTGTCGACTTCACCCGGGACGAGGACGCCTTCGACAGCGGCTTCATGTCGCCACGTGTTCCCGCATCTCAAGACGAAGCTTTGCCGCGAGCTCCACCGGGGTAGGACTGCTGGTAGACACGGGAGCATCGGAGACCATGTTTGATAATCGCCTCATCTCCGACGGAAACCTTCACGATTACACCCAGCGAAACTTTCCAAAGATCGTCGACGTGCCCGGAGAAAGCCAGCTCACAGGCACGGCCACGGGCATCCTACACTGCACCGTCAAGGGTAATCGAGGACAGCAATTGCGCGTGCGGATTGAGGGACTCGTCGTTCCGGGGCTTGGTCGCAACGTTTTTGCGCCCACCTCCCTCCTGAAAAAAGGATTGCGCTGCGTCGTCGAAGCGAGCACTCCGCACTTCACTATTCAAGGCAAGGTGATTCCTCTCACACAAGATCCGCTAGACCAAGGCATGTGCACCCTCAACATCACGTTCGAGCAGAACGTCCAGCCATCTGGCACGAGATCCCTTGTGCCCCACCAGAACCAGTCACAGACCCACATGTTGACCACTCCTAGAGCCGGAGTGATTGCTGGGTATGCCCGCATTTGTGTCCAGTGACTGGAAAGTGTCGTTGATTGCTTGTATTAGATCCGCAGGACAAACGCACGACAGACAGAGGAGAAAAAGAGTGCCCCACACAGGCTGACGCAGCATGGGGGCACCGCAGACTCATCCAAGTCTACTACAACAGGTACCACAGCGGGTCCGTTCATGCACAGAACACAGAACCGTTCCTCAGATCCTTCCTACATCTGCACACGCACGAACACCCTCCCTGGTTCCTTACGCTAGTAATTAACCATCACCGTGTGTCGCTCAACGTACTCGGACACCACCGTTGCAAGGGAAAACCCGGCCTCCGAGTCGAAAACCCTCGCAATGATTCCACGACTGCCAAAATAAAATATCATTGTTGTCATCTCAACTACTCCAACGCCCTACAAACGAAGGCCAAACACAGCGCTACGTTGGCATTTTATTTCAGCAACTCCAATTCCCCTTCATGGCGACATACTAAGCTGACCAAACTACATCGATGGTTCAAATGATCATCTCAACATTTTCAGGAAAGAACAATTATCAATATACCAACGCTAGCTGAAACACAGCTGTGCTCTCCCGCGACATCTGACCTACAATTCGAACAACAAGGAACGACGTTGATACGATCAAAACACGGTAGCGACTGTCGAGGGGAGGCCGTCAGAGACATGCACGTTTACGAACATCAGGTTGACGCCACATTGGATGCCCTCCCATATTGTGCGACCACACGCAAGAAAACTCAAATTGCTACCAGTATCCTCTGCTACAGGTACCAACCGGATTTGTCGGTCTCAGCGGGGGTCTTCTCTCCATTGCCAAGTGGACTCCGGCTCCTCCCACCCACCCGCAAAAATCCCTGCAGCTGATCGCCACCCTGGTAAGCGCGCCGACCAGAACGACAAATGCCCACGCTGCCCCCCCTACATCTGGAAGCGCGTTGGCAGAGATCTGTGATGACTGTGCAGCCCCCCCCCCTTCATCTGGAGAACCGCCCAACCGAAAAGCCCAACGCTGCCCCCCATACATCTGGAGGCGCGCAGGTGAAGAAATGCCGCCCTCCCCTACATCTGGAGAGCATTAACCGGCGTTGCCCCCCCTACATCTGGAGGCGCGCCGGTGAAGAAAAGTTGCCCTCCCCTACATCTGGAGAGCGTGGACCCGCGTCGTCCCCCCTACATCTGGGGACGCGCCGGTGAAGAACTGCTGCCCTCCCCTGCATCTGGAGAGCGTTGACCTGCGCCGCCCCCCCTACATCTGGGGGCGCGCTGGTGAAGAACTGCTGCCCTCCCTTACATCTGGCGAGCGTTGACCCGTGCTGCCCTCTCTACATATGGAGGTGCACGGGTAAGGAACTACTGCCCCCCACGTCTGGGGTGCGTCGGCTGGCGCTGTCCCCCCTACATCTGGAGGCGCGCTGTTGTGTAACCACTGCTGTACGTCCCTCCCCTACATCTGGAGGGCGTTTACTGATGCCCTCCTCCCTTTTTTTTGGGGAGAACACCTGTGAGATATATGCGCTACCCCCCCCACATCTGGGGGTGCGTGTTGGTACCCTCCCCTACATCTGGAGAGCACGCCTACGAAATGTTTCACTACCCCCCCTACATCTGGGAGTGCGTGTCAGTGTCAGTGCCTTCCCCTACATCTGGAAAGCACAGGTTTCAAGAACTCAAGTCGCCCCCCCTACATCTGGGGGCGTGGAGTGTTGGGGCTGGGTATAGTGGGTTTCCTATCTTTCAAGGCTTCGCACACAACGTCTAGCTCATCCTGCGACATTTTGACCGCTATTACCGCTTTCTCTTCTTCCATTGGGCAACGGTCTTTTTCGTGGCCGAATCCCGTGCAAACCTCGCACCGGACAATGTCGGTTTCCTTTGTTGGGCATTCCGCGATCCGATGCCCCATCTTTCCGCATCGGAAGCACCGGACGCGTGCCCGTTTCTCCGCCCCGCCCCCACCGCTCTCGTTGCCTTTGCCTTTGCCGTTGCTGTTTCCCTTGCGGCGGGCGCGGTTGCGACTTTCGCCCTTCCCGGCGCCGTCGGCTGTGACGAAAGCCTGTTCCTCTGCCCTCGTGTGGCTTTTCTCCGCCTCCCGCTGGCTGCAGAGCGTGTTGTAGCGAGTCCCCGTCACGCGCATGAGGTTCCCCCTCGTCAGCCTCTCAGCGGATGAGAGGTTCACTTTTGCGACCTCGTACTCTTGAGGAAGGGCATTCACGAAGCGTGTGAACACGAACCGGTCATCGAGGGCGGCGCCCCCGCATTCCTGGATCATGTCGCGGATGTTCTCCAACTCACGCAGTGCCACGTTCGGGTCTACCTTCACGTCGACCTGGTACCGCTCAAACCGGTGAAAAACCTGTTGTGCTTCTCCCTGCGTTTCGGGTTTGTAGACGGCGTCAAGCGTTTCCATGGCCTCTCGGGGGACTTACACCTTCTGATAAGCGATTTGTCATTCTCACGTACCATCGCGTTTGAAAGGAGTTGCCACCCGTGTAGGGCGTTGTTGATCTGGTCCATGGTGAACCCTGCCTGCAGAAGTTGGGGTCGCGGCAGCGCTACATCTGGCATTGTCCCTTTCCCGAAGAAAGTCTCGGGTAGGTTCATGTAGTTGATGAAGCGACTGAAGTCCATGTTCCACCCGGGGTACTGGTGCTTTTCGCCCTTGAACTGCGGGACGCTTACGCGAAACGACGTAGTCTTCCCTGACCCCACCGCTGTCTCGCCCCATTCAACAGCACCATCGCTACCGGCGGCCATCTCACCTCCTTGGGGACCAGGCTCGCTGACCCAGCCGTCGTTCCGAGCGCTGGGGCCCACAGTCTCAGGTAGGTTCCCTGCGGCGGAACCCCTCCCGGTTCCCTCCGGGATCCCAACCGCACCCCCCACGGCGCCCCCGTCCACCGCGGCGCCGTGTGACCCTCCTCCTTCCTCCGTCTCGCGTGGGCTGCGTGGGCAGAAGGCTCTCGAAGCGACTGAGCTGCTGCTCCATCCTCCCCCCTGCCTTGGCCTGCTGTTCTTCAAAGCGTGCCGTCAGCATGCTCTCCACTTCTCCAAGTTTAGCTGCGAGCTCCTCCTGCAAGACCCCTCCTGACATGTTACTGGCACGGGCTCTTTCGTTTCCTTGCAAGGACGATGGAGACAGAAAGAAAATCTAGAGTGTTGACCACTCCTAGAGCCGGAATGATTGCCGGGTATGCCCGTATTTGTGTCCAGTGACTAGAAAGTCTCGTTGATTGATTGTATTAGATCCGCAGGACAAACGCACGACAGACAGAGGAGAAAGAGAGTGCCCCACGCAGGCTGACGCAGCATGGGGGCACCGCAGACTCATCCAAGTCTACTACAACAGGTACCACAGCGGGTCCCTTCACGTACGGAACACAGAACCGTTCCTCAGATCCTTCCTACATATGCACACACACGAACACCACACGGCGAACGCCGTCTGCTTTACGCTTGTGAGCGCGGACACCTGGCACAGGAGGCTTGGACATCTCAATGCTCGGAGCCTGGACATAGGACGCGGGTACCGGGGTGGACTATCGCGACAGTCTCTCCCCTTGCGGGGTCTGCCAGATCGCGAAACACAAGCAGCCCCCCCTCCCGAAGCAATCGACTCGCGAACTATCACGGCCTGGACAACTTGTTTGTGGTCATCGACAACATGGGGTCTGTTAATCCACCTGCAAAATACAAAGGAGGCTTCCCGTGCGCGTGCAAAATCACCGACGACTACACGAAAATGAAAGAAGTGTACCTGCTTCGCAAGAAATCTGACACGACCGAGGCGGTGCACACGTACAACATGTGCGTCGCAGCGGCAGGAGGCTACCGGATCGAGACCATCCGCTGCGACAAGAGCCGAGAACACCGGATCCGGATTTCGAGACTACTGCAAGAATTCAGCTATCAAGCTCGAATACGCCGCCACCAACACCCCTCAACAAATTGGTGTATCGGAACGGGACGGACAAACCCTGCCCGGAGTCACCCAGTGTCTTCTGAACGATGGAGATTTTCCGCCGTCCATGTGGGGGGAGTTAGTGCTGACTGTAGCATACCTGTTGAACAGGTCCCCACACTCAGCACTGGGGGGAGCTACGCCATACTCGAAGTTGCACAATATGTCACCTGATCTCTCGGGACTTCGGGTCATTGGAGCGCGCGCCTTCGTACGCCACGAGCGATACCGAAAGAAGCTGGACGACAGAGCTTTCGAAGGCAAGTTGGTTTTGGCCTCGACAGACAGACCTCCGGGTATTCAATCCATCCAACGGGGCCGTGGTCGACAGCCGGAATGTGACTTTCATCGNCCCGGAGTCACCCAGTGTCTTCTGAACGATGGAGATTTTCCGCCGTCCATGTGGGGGGAGTTAGTGCTGACTGTAGCATACCTGTTGAACAGGTCCCCACACTCAGCACTGGGGGGAGCTACGCCATACTCGAAGTTGCACAATATGTCACCTGATCTCTCGGGACTTCGGGTCATTGGAGCGCGCGCCTTCGTACACCACGAGCGATACCGAAAGAAGCTGGACGACAGAGCTTTCGAAGGCAAGTTGGTTTTGGCCTCGACAGACAGACCTCCGGGTATTCAATCCATCCAACGGGGCCGTGGTCGACAGCCGGAATGTGACTTTCATCGAATATCCACCCCGGTAAGTACCATTCCAGCATTCCACTGAAGCAAACGGGTACGAGAGCGACGTGCTGGGCTTCACCTCCCTGCTGGACATGTTCGTGTGTGTGCATATGTGGGAAGGATCTGAGGACGGTTCTGTGTTCCGTAGATGAAGGGGCATACGGTGGTACCTTTTGTGGTAGACTTTCGATGAGTCAGCGGTGCCAGCCTGCATGGGTCACTCTCTTTCTCCCCTGTCTATCATGCGTTAGTCCTGCGGATCTAATGCAAGCCATCAACGAGACTTTCTAGTCACTGGACACAAATACGGGCATACCCGGCATAAGACTCCGGCTCTAGGAGTGATCAATAGGACAGCCCCCACTCGACGAGCGACCTGAACTTCGCGGCGCGGAACGAACTCCTTCGGCAAGAAGACCGGAAGCTGCAGCAAGACAATCTCGCTCGGGAGGAGCTTCGCCTAGAACTGGACGATAACGAGGACGAACATGGAAACGGGCAAGATTTCAGCGACGGGGACGCCCCATCACCGCATCTCTCATCGACGCCAGCTGGACCGTCATCCGAAACCCACGCATCTAGCTCCAGCCCATCATCGTCGAATCCGTCTGCACCGGACACTTCTGCATCAACTGAATCCTTCGGCATGCGGCTCCTGCAATCACCAGAGCTAGCACGCGCGGGAAGCCCACCAGCGATGATCAGATCGACGTTAACTTGGTTCCTGCCGATCTGCAAATCACCATGAACGACCGCGGTCGAGCCCATGCTGCAACGGGCCGCGTGTAGCCATCCGGTCTTTCCTTCACTCAGCTGGCTGAGATAGCCGATCAAGCCCAGCTCCCACGCCCTGGCGATACTGAGGATTTCGCCCACGTGGCGGGAAGACCCCTTCACAGTGCCGCGTGCTCACGCCCACGTCACGACCACTCACGACCACCACGGGATCTTGGAGGAGACGAATCAAGCGATCGAAATCCGCAACACCTACGATGAAGCCATGAGCCCTCCCCAACGCGAAGAGTGGACAGGAGCGTGCCGCAAGGAAATGGACAATCTGCGGAAACACAACGTCTGCAATCTGGTGCCCCTCAGTAGCGTTTCCAAAGGAGAGAAGATCCTCTCAACGAAATTCGTCTTCAAGAAAAAGCTGGACGGACGCTTCAAAGCTCGCCTGGTACTCGGAGGACATCGNCGCCCTGGCGATACTGAGGATTTCGCCCACGTGGCGGGAAGACCCCTTCACAGTGCCGCGTGCTCACGCCCACGTCACGACCACTCACGACCACCACGGGATCTTGGAGGAGACGAATCAAGCGATCGAAATCCGCAACACCTACGATGAAGCCATGAGCCCTCCCCAACGCGAAGAGTGGACAGGAGCGTGCCGCAAGGAAATGGACAATCTGCGGAAACACAACGTCTGCAATCTGGTGCCCCTCAGTAGCGTTTCCAAAGGAGAGAAGATCCTCTCAACGAAATTCGTCTTCAAGAAAAAGCTGGACGGACGCTTCAAAGCTCGCCTGGTACTCGGAGGACATCGTCAAGAGCGAGGACAGGATCACGGATGCAGCTACGCCCCAGTATGCCGTATCGGGAGCATTCGCATGACGTGCGCCATTGACTGCCACAACAACTGGCCCATCTACCAACTGGACGTTGTCGGTGCCTTCCTTAATGCCTCCTGCAACAGAGACGTGTACGTCAGACCCGCCCCCGGTACATCCGCCAAGATCTCCTCGACAGGAGAACTCATGGTGTACAAACTAGAACGGAGCCTCTACGGTCTATCGCAGTCGCCGGCGATCTGAAACGACACCCTGGACAAGTTCTCACGGTGTTCGGATGGAAAAGGACTCAATCCGACCCCTGCATGTACGTGTATACCAGCGGCAACACCATCGTGATTCTCACGGTCTACGTAGACGACATTCTCATCACGGAAGGAGACCAGCAGCTCGTGGACCAGAAGAAGAAGGAGCTCACGGATCGATTCGAGATGACCGACATGGGAGAGGTAAAGCGGATCCTCGGGATCGACGTAGAGCGAGACTGCGAGCACGGAACCCTGCCTGGTCATTTCACAGGAACACTACGCGAGCACACTTCTGGAACGGTTCGGAATGCAAGAAGCCAACCCAGTGAGCACTCCTGGATACGGAGCGGAAATTTCCACGAATCAACCTCAGGACCAAATCCTAGGACCCACGGACAAGAAAATCTACTAGTCGATGACGGGAAGCATCCTCTATCTGGCCCAGTGCACGCGATTCGACCTCTCTTACGCGACCCTACAACTGTCCAAGGCCTGCAGCAACCCAGCGCAAGTGAACATGACAGCAACCAAGCACGTTCTGCGATACCTTCGGGGTATTCCAGTTCTTCTTATCGCCTACGGGAGAGGACAGTTTCGGCTAGCGGCGTTTACGGATTCATCCTTCGGAGCANAGTCGATGACGGGAAGCATCCTCTATCTGGCCCAGTGCACGCGATTCGACCTCTCTTACGCGACCCTACAACTGTCCAAGGCCTGCAGCAACCCAGCGCAAGTGAACATGACAGCAACCAAGCACGTTCTGCGATACCTTCGGGGTATTCCAGTTCTTCTTATCGCCTACGGGAGAGGACAGTTTCGGCTAGCGGCGTTTACGGATTCATCCTTCGGAGCAAACCCAACAACGGAAGATCTACCACGGGATATCTCTTCTTCCTGGCTGGAGGACTCATCAGCCACGGTGCGAAGACTCAAACTCTAACCGCGCAAAGCACGGTCGAAGCTGACATTCAAGCACATAGCTACTCAGCCAAAGAGGCGGTCTATATCTCAAGTTTTATGACGGAATTCAACTTCAAGACCTTCGGATCGGTTCCCATCAACAGCGACAGCACTGGAGCGCTGACAGTGGCCGGGAATGCCATGCACTCTCAACGCACGACGCACGTGACCCTGAGGTACTTTTTTATCCGGGAGCTAGTACTGCGGGGACAAATCACTCTCCAACACCGGCCCGGCGAGCACCAGTTGGCTGATATCGCGACCAAGCACCTACCAAAGCACCGATTCGCCTCCATCATTCAGCAGATGAAGGACTTCTCGTGTTGATTGAATATCTGTTAAGCTTCCTACCATACGCGTCATACAAGACGGAATGAATTTCCGATACGATGCCAACGGAGGGTCGATGTAGAAATGGATATGGTGATGCGATTGACCATTGTGAATTAGTTGCTTGATCAAGAGGTCATGTCAGGAAAAATCGTGCGTCGAGATCACCAGTAGTCGGACACGGTTTGACCTTTGAATAAAATTGCAGCAACTAGTCTGCGTAGCAGTAGAAAAGAATCTTTCTCTCCGTGGCATGTATTCTCTTGTTCTAGAATGATTCCGGAAGCATGCTAGGTCAAGGTCGACCGGGACATCTACGTAGAACGTGTGTGGCTTCCGGAAACCTTCTGGAACCTTCTGAAAGCTTCTGGAAGCGTTCTAGACCTAGGTTGCACGTGGGATACTCTTCTTGAACGTAGTAGGGTTTCCAGAATCATTCTGGAAGCATTCTAGATCTTTCGTGTGATTGGCTTATTTGTCCGGTATTCGAGGAGAGTGGTGCAGCCCTAAGCTCGCCACCCCTCTCATTCCTCTTCAGTATCAGCAACATCAATCTGACTCGGGAGTCAGCAATTAATATAAGCATCTTCATATTTCCATTGCAAGTCTCTCGCGGTTGGAGCCGCACAGAGTGTGAACCTCTGAGGTAGGCTACACAGCCTCCTGGCATCTGCAGCATCGTACTGCTGCTAGCGCACAGCGAAATTACCTTGACATCTGTCAAAAACACGGATCCGTGAATTAGCAAGCCCCCAAAAATCCCGGCTCCTTTATTTCAAGTTTTCGGGGAAAAACGCCTACACGATTCCGTGAAATGTTCTGTGATTTTCTTGTGGTTAATATTTCCCGTTTGCCCTGGCAAAGCCACAGAAGGCGCGCCCCTTTGTTGCGAGATTCTGTGCGTGCATGACCCGCGGTTTCGAGCGGGGCGTACAACCGGTGGAACGTTTATTGGTGTCGCGTTTCGTAGCGGGTGCAGCAGTGTTGAGGCGTGCGAGTAGGTCCGCTGACAACACCGTGCCGCGCTCCATATTTTGAGTCCGGCCCGAGCAAGAACACGGAGTCAAATAAATCTCGATGGACGCTGGAAGATGCGAAAAGACAGAATGGGAGGCATGTGTGCGGCCTACGCCACTTATTTATCGGGTGAGACTGTTTTGGTGATGTATTAACTTCACGGGACGTAGACGACCGTCCTTCACACGGACGAAAGAGGTAGTGCTCAAAGAGCGGCTCCCAC